ATTGCGTTTTCTTTAGTCAATTTCAACAAAATTTTTCGAAAAAAATTATTTTCATCCCACAAACTTACTCAAAAAAATAACAAAAATATCATTTTTGACCTAATTTAATAAATTTTTGCCATGGGTTTAACAAAATTAATAAATAATAATTAATTAATAAACAAGTGACACAAACTCATTTTAAAAATGAAAAACGCGTCTAAAATAAAGACTTTACTATTTATTACTGTAGTAAATTCAGTAAAATTCGCAAAATTTGTTCAAATCTTAGACTTTTCTCGATCATTTTTAATTAACTTTAACCATTTATAATAGACTGTAGTTTTCTATAACATTCGTCATTATTCTAAAAATAAAACCAAAACTCTTAAAAAATAGATAAGAAATAACGTCGTTTTTGCCCATTATGATCCAAATAGAGGAATTTTTAATGGAATTTTTCTGTCCCATAGTTTGCACGTGATTTAACGAAATTTATAGCCTTTAGATGAATAAAACATGACTTTGCGAGACATTACAAATATTTAATCGTAGCAATAGAATAGTAATCACTACTGTTTCTACGTAGATTCGAATTTTGATTTTCCAATCAAAAGTTAAATTAATACTAAACAGTTTACGTACGTGTAACTATATTTTAATCTCAATTTCTCGAAACAGACAATATATCAAGACTTGTTCTTGATGTAGCAGAACAAATAAACACGTGTGAAATATAAAGTGCACCAGGTAAAAATTATACGCGTGCCACCTGGTGTGAGAAGTCGTTAATACACAGCAACTCTTTGATCTTAATTTAAATGTTTAATATTTTGAGACGGCGTATTTGATGGAGTGGGTGTCGTTTTTCGTTGGTTTTATTCGAAATAAAACGTCGCTTCCGAGTTTCGACGAGAATTAACGCTAATGACACACTTTGCCCGATATTACTTCACCTGTTACAAATATTGACAGTTGTATATTTGTGCTCATTAGGAGGCCGCTTAATAGTTCTAATGAACCACCGAATTTGTTCTCGGGACACTAAATACATTAACGAACGTGAAAAACGCCACTTAGCGACAGATACACCAAAATCACTCAATTTTAACACAAAAACCAAACAGAATTAAACACTCGCTCTTAAAACACGCAATTAGAGCCGAATTTTGTCAATAAATGTTCGTCTGGACTCTGGAGAGATTTTTTTACTAGTCGTCTAGCGCAAAACTGATAAGAAACAAAACAATTTTCGTTTTAGTCTGAGAGATTGAGAGATATCACAAGAGACGAGAAAATTGTTTTCACTCAAGTACGAAATATATTTGTACTGAAAAATTCAGTGTGACTGGATTATTTTTTACGACTTTTGTTTTATCGTCCAGACGAAAACGATTTATAGGCTAATTCACGAAATACTTGCGAGGATATTGACCAATAAATGGAAAATTTACTAAAGAGATATATTGTATTTATTATTCTCCAGCTCAGAATAAGATATCCAGAAAATCGCCTAAAGCCACACATAAATGAACAATTTTTTATATTTTGTATCGCGTTTATTTATCTACAACCAAATTTGCATTATTTGCGCCAATAATTAGCGAATGTGTCATTTTTAAATAAACTTTCTAATTATAAATTCCACCATTAAAATTTTAAAACTTAAAAAATTTTGGTGCTTCTTAATCCCACCGACATGAAATAAATTAATTAATTTGATTAATTTGAATTAGTTTTCCGTACATATTATTCTTATTACTTGTAATAGAATCAAAAAACCTAATAATTTAAATAAATTATTACTAAAAACACCTGAAATTTCCATATTTTCAGTACAATCATTGAATCGTTATACCAAGTGCAGAAAAAGTATATTTCAGCCCAAACGATATGTATTTAGTCTATTTAAAAATTTATTTATAAAAAACAAACTGCTTTGAAAATGTGACCGATATTCAGAAATAACGTCTTTGGAATATTTTTTATATTTTTTAAATGGAACCCTATGTTGAATATTTTTTTTAAATAACAACTGTTTAAGAAAATTGTTGTAAATCACATAGGTTTTTCAAAAATAATTTTTAAAATTAAGCTCCGGGGTCCATAAAAAAGCTTCGTTTTAAAAATTATTTTTGAAAAAAACTGGTTCAATTCAACTCGGACAACTGTAACTGTGAAACAAAAAAATTTTTCAAAAAAAAACTTACCACTAATAAACCAAAACACTTTTAATGGACATAATTTTACAATTTTCAAGTTTTAAACTATTTCCTTAATAAGACATTAAAAAAACACAAATTGCGTAATTTTTACAGTGTTTTCAAAATTTTTCTACAGAAACTGGCTAAAAAATTAGTAATACCAAGTCAAAAAATTGCATGGCATTTTTTTTGCATTGAAAATATTTTTTAACAAGTCTCTTCATAAGAATATCACAAAATAAAAAGCATAAAATTTGTTTTTGAAATAAATTTTCTGTACAAAATTTATCATTCAATGAAAAATACAAATAATAATAGTGCAAATTATGTTAGCATAATATAAAAGTAAAAATTACAACATTTTTGATCAAATTTTTTTAGTTTTTCTGCTATGCTCAAAAATCAATTAAATTGAATAAGAAAGAAAATAACATCAATTTCGATTAATTTTTGTAATTTTTAAGTGTAAAATTTTACAAAATAAATGTGTTTCTGGTTCAAAGATAATCTGAATATTTTCAGTACAAAGATTGCATCATTACGCAAAGTGTAGAAAAAGTATATTTCTGCTAAAACTATTTAAAAATTTATTTATGGAAAACC